CTTTTATTTGTTATTTGTCGCTTGGGTATCGTTTATGAATCTGACCCATGGGTCCCAGACCTCTTGGGAAAGTGATAGTTTGTGGGTGATAGACGCGTGGATTTCCTCCATGGTTCTGATTGTCTCTACTTTGGCGATCCATTCTCTAATTGATGGGGTGTTGGGATTTTTCCATTTGACAGGAATGAGTAGGTTGGCTGCAGTTATAAGGTGGGTGAGGAGGATACGACGCGACTTGGGCAGGGGGCTTGGGAGGATCAGGAATAGTAGCGCCTGTGGGGTGATTGGCACTTGGATTCCCGTAATTGTTTTAAGCATTTTCCCTATATTGTTCCAGTATTTCTGGAGTGATGGGCAGGTCCACCAGGTATGGGCTAGTGAGGCCCCCCTTTGGGTGCATTTCCAGCAAATGTCGTGTGTGTTTGGGAATAGGCTGTGTATTTTGGATGGTGAGTAGTGCCATCTGGCAATTCTCTTGTAGTTACCCTCCTGGAACGCGGTACATATCGAGGTGGTGTGCGTTTGCCGGAATATAGTGTTCCATTGGGGATTTGTGATTTGGGTGTTTAGGTCTTTGGCCCATGCGTCTGTAAACGGCGGTAATGTTTTAGTGGCTTCCAGGCCACGGAGTTTGTAGAATGTCGATAGTAGTTTTGTTTTAATATTGCTCGTTTTACAGTGTATTTCGAAGTGTGAGAGCGCGCGAGCACCTCTGTACAGGATAGGGTTGTCCCTGATGAAGTGGGTCACCTGGGCATAGAGCAAATATTGCATTGGCGTGTGAGTGTCATGTCTTATCAGATTGGAGAGGGGGCGAATGCGGTGGCCTTCCAGTAGAGTGTTAAGTTGGAGGTATGTCCCATCTGGTGTGTTCTGTAAGGCGAGGTATGGCTTGGCTGTCATGCCCGGGGCGAAGAGTGGGTTATGGGTAATGGGGTACAGGGGGGATGGGTGGGGGGACAGATTAGTCGACTTGCGGATGCGCGACCAGGTGAGAAGCGTGGGTCGGATCGTCGGGTGTTTAGTGTGGCTAGGGAGGAGTGTTGATAAGGTCGCTTGTTGCCACGGGATTGTATGTATGGGGGAGTTAAAAATGGAGCTTTCCAGCTTTATCCACTGACGTGCTGGGGGGTGAGTCGACCATTCATATATACGTGAAAGGACTGTTGCTTCGTGGTAATGTTCAAGATGTGGTAGACTCAGTCCACCTTGGGATTTATGTCTGGTGAGGATTTCGTATTTGATCCTCGGCTGTTTATGAGCCCATATGAAAGTTGTAAACATTGTTCTTAATTTGATAAAGAACAGCTTGGGTATGGCTATGGGTAGGGTATGGAATAGGTATAGGATCTTAGGGAGGGTATTCATTTTTAGGATATTGATCCTACATAGCCAGGAGTATTGTGGTTTATTCCACGCTTGTAGGTCTTTTGAGATAGATTGGATGAGTGGTTCATAATTTAGGGCATAGGTGGAGTTGAGATCTACCGGGAGGCGTACGCCCAAATAGGTTATTGCTGATTCTGCCCATGTAAACGGGAAACGTGTTGTGAGGGAGGCACGGGTTTGGGGGGATATTTTGATTGGGAGGATTTCGCTTTTGGTGAAATTGACTTTAAAATTGGACAGCGTGTGGTAGAGTGCTATTTCCTCTAGAAGTGGAGGGAGAGAGGTGTCTGGAGATTGGATGGTAAATAGGAGATCGTCGGCAAAGGCCGATATTTTGTACTCTGTGTGTGCCACTTGTATCCCTTGTATAGCCGGGTTGTTTCTAACCCCATTGAGAAAGGGTTCCAGTATAAGGATGAAGAGAAGAGGAGATAGAGGGCAACCCTGTCTCGTGCCGTTTTTGATGTGTACCGGGTTCGAAAGTTGTCCATTTATCCGCAGTCTGGCTGTGGGAGTGGAGTAGATGGAATTCATCCACCTTAGCCAGTTAGGGCCAAAACCTATTTTATCCAAGGTGGTTATTAACAGGGTCCAGTCCACCCTGTCAAATGCCTTTTCGGCGTCTATTGATATCAGGAGGCTGTCTGTCGGTAGGTGTTGTGCAATGTATAGTAGGTTTAAGATTTTTGTGGTGTTGTGCTTTGCTTCTCTATTAGGAACGAAGCCTGCTTGATCGTCGTGTAGTAGAGATTGTAGTAGGGGTCTTAGTCTGGTGGCAAGAATTTTCGTGAATATTTTTAGGTCTAGGTTTATAAGGGATATCGGTCTATAACTCCCACAATTGGTCGGGTCTTTGCCTGGTTTCGGTATGAGGGTTATGTGTGCTTCCAGTGATTGGGGGGGGAGGGCCTGGTATTGTGTAAGGGAGTTGAGGGCCTCTACTAACGGTGTTGTCAGGTGATCTTGGAATGTTTTGTAGTATTTGGCCGTAAACCCATCTGGTCCTGGGCTTTTACCCAATGGGAGGTGTCGTATGGCGGTTTGTACCTCGTCTTGTGTAATGAGGGCATCCAGGGATGAGAGTGTGTGAGTCGGGATTGTCTTATGTATTCGTGAAGAGAGATATTGCTCAATATCTGCAGTGGCTGGTGGTTTGCTTCTAAGATTGTAGAGGTCAGTATAAAATGTTTGGAAGGCTTGAAGGATTTCTGGGAGTTTATGGGTCATGGAACCGGTAGATGTTTTAATTTTAGCTATGAATGTTGATTGTCTCTGTTGACGTAGCGAGTGTGCTAGTAAGCGGCCGCATTTGCCCCCCTGGGCAAAGTATTTATGTTTAGTAAGGAGGAGGTTGCGTTTGACCTTGGAGTTTAGTAGATCGCACAGAGCTGACCTTTTAGCTGTCAGGGCTAAATATATATTAAGGTGAGTGTGCTGTTTATGTTGTTGTTCAAGCAATCTTATGTCGTTTGTGAGGGATTTGATTTTGGCTTCCCTGATTTTCTTAAGTCGGGATGCTGTACATATCAGTTCACCTCTAATAACGCATTTGTGTGCTTCCCACGCAGTTGGGGGGCTAATCATGGGAGATGTATTGAGGTGGAAGTATTGTCGTAGTGCCTTATTGATATAGGCCGTTACTGCGGGATCGTTCAGGAGGAGGTCGTTGAGTTTCCATTGGAAAGATTTCTGGGGTAATGTGGGTATGTGCATATCTAACGTTAGGGGTGCATGGTCTGACCAAGTAATTTGGCCATATCTGCTGGACTGGATGAGATGGAGAAATCTATGTGGGACAAAAAACATGTCCAGTCTGGAATAAGTGTGTGTTACAGTTGTGTAGAAGGAGTAATCCTTAGCTGACGGATGAGTTACTCGCCAGCAATCATAGAGTTGTGCGTGGTCTAGTATCGTCGTCATTTGTTTCCGTGCCGACACTTGGTATTGGGTCGTATGGGATGTCGTGTCCATCTGAGCGTCGGTTGATAGATTAAAGTCGCCCCCCATAATTAGTATACCCTCTGCAAATGATTCTATTTGCTTTAGTTGTTTCTTGAGGGTGTGGCATTGACGTCTGTTCGGGAGGTACGTGTTAACTAATGTCACTGTAGTTTGGCCAATTTGGCCCTTAACCATAAGGAGTCTCCCCGTATCGTCTGTCTTGTGTTCGGTGTAGGTGAATGGGAGATGGGTTGACAGAAGTATTGCCACTCCCCGTGATTTAGCTGTTTCATAGTCGCTGAAATATCCCGTTGGGAATCTGCGATCTCTGAATGTGGGGGCCATATTTTTTTTAAAATGTGTTTCCTGGAGGAAGGCTATATCTACTTTCAGATGGTGAAGTTCGTTGAGTGTCATTTTTCTTTTCTCGGGAGTGTTAAGACCTCTAACATTAAGGGTAATGATACGTATGTGAGCCGTCTCAGGGTCAGTTGGTTGTGTGGCGTTAGTGTCTGCCATTATTGGTGTGAACTCGTCGCGGGGGGAGGTTATTTTTAAACTTGGAGAGGTACGGGGATTGTACCTTTGAACTATATACAGTAGATATATGTGGTTTCAACTTGTACTACAGTAAGTTATATGTTGGGATACTGTTTGGGGGTTTCCCGTGGTGGACTACCCCGGGCGGATATTCGCCTTGTGGGTAGGTGGTGTGCACCTGGGTTAGGTCAGGTGGACCTAGTGGTGGAGCTGCTTGTCACCTGGATGATAGTAGGTGAGTATTTTTGGTCTTGGCTTCCTTGGGTGGTGTGTGTTTACCTCAGAGCTAAAGTCTGCTTGGGGTAAGAATCCATGAGTGGTAGCGCTTGGCTTGGTTGGAGGGGCAATATTTAAAGATGAGACATTCTCGTCTCGGGTGGGGTGCATGGTGGGTCTGAGTTGTAGGGTAGATATGGTCTCGTGCTAAATGCCATGGGGGGGGGGGTGGTGGTAGTCTATATATACTGTGGGGGACGCCGGTGCGTGAGATGTCAGAGGTGTTTATATGGGGCGTTTGGGTTACCTGGACCGAAGCCCTTCAGGTTGTGGAGGGAACCCTTCTGTTGTGGTCTGGCGCTGTGTATCGTCCTATGGCGCCGGTGTTGCAGTGTGGCTTCCTGCTTCCGGGTATGAGGAAGGTGGGTCCCGTATAATCTATTTATCACACAAAATACATACATATGTAAGACATTATACAATGAATTTCAGAACAGTGTATTGGCCCAAGAATCTTGAACCACCTGGGACGGAATAAGTCCACCTTTCCCATCTAGTATTATTGTTACTTCCGTTTCCCATGTTCTGTCCCCTGTACTGTCTGTTTTGCGTTCCCCCGGGTTGTGTGTCGTAGCCGTCGTCTGTGTCTTTTTACGTTAATAATTTATTTTTATTTATTTTTTTTTATTTTTTTTTTTTAGTTTCTACAGTATAGAGAGGGTGCTAGGAGATGATTTACTGCATTTGCAAGGTTAGGGAAGGTCAACACTCGTGGCGTAGCATAGTCTGGATGCCGTCACTCTCTGTCCCTCCATGGCCCCTGGTTACCCTTGTCGTTAAGCAGGCCTGGGGGGGGAGCCCATTCCCTGAACCGGTCTTAGGATGCTGGAGCTATCCTGTATGGAATGAAGGGAGTGCGGGTGTGTATACAGTAGGGGGGGGGACAGTATGTCTGGTCTGTGGTCGGTCCTCAGGGTCTGTTCCTCATCTAGCTGTGCGTATCTGGGGTAGCTGTACAGTATGAGAACCCGTCCCCTTGTCTACAGCAAGTACATACTAAGACATTTGAGGTCATGGATAGTTCGTATATAGTTACTTATCCTCTCCTTTCGGAACCATGGGGCAACTCGAAATGGATAGCCGTTTGGAGTATGGGGCGTGCACCCGGCAGGAAAATAGGCAGGGGCACCTTGTGGGTTCGGGTGAGGCCAGGTACCTTAGGACTGTCTATGTAAGTGAGATAGATCCCGGCCTTGAGTCTTGCGTGTCCCAGGCTCTGGCTGTTGCAGTCCTTCTTCTCCTCAGGGTGCGATTTAGTGTCTTGTGTTGTCCTGTTTGAGTACGTGGAGGGTAGGCTTGTTTGTGGTCGTTGGAGTAGGCGTCGTCTGTCCGATTTTCGGGGTAGTTCGTCTGTTTGATGGAGGGAATTCAATGAATATCTCAAGGTGTACGGGGTCCGCGTGCGGTGTTACGGTGTCCCTCCCGGTTAGTGCCGTATATCATCTCCCAGTGTGGTCGGTAGGGTCTCGTGGATCAGTCCAGCGTAATGCGACGGCTTGGTGTGTACCGGCGTCTAAAGAGGTGTATTGGTATTGTGGATGGTTCAATTTAGAGGCATCGTGGAAGCTTGGGGGAGCGCAGTGGTGACCATATCTTTTCTCTGGGTTGGTGTGCGGGATGTCATGCTGTCTAGTGGTGCATTTGGGGAGGATGTTGTGAGTGATCTCCCGGAGGGTGACCAGCGTATTCCGGTCGTCTTCTCTTCGGGGGCTGTTGCCAGGGAGGTCTTTGCTGTTGCCTTGGCATGTTAGGAGTAGGGGTTGGGCCGTACCAATCTGGGATCCGGACTGCTGTAAGTTCTAGGTCCCAGATGAACACCGGTACGTCCTTAATTGTGGAGATGGTGTAGGTGTTGCCCCTTGTAGTAACGGTGAGGGAGAATGGGAACCCCCATCTATACCTGATGTTCCTTGAGCGGAGCTGATCTGTGACCGGTTTCAGAGACCTGCGTGCCTGTAGTGTTAGCCATGAGAGGTCAGGATATATTGCCACTTCTGTTCCGTGGAATAGTAGCGGTTGTTGCGAGTTGCGTAAGGCCTCTAATATTTTGGCTTTGCAGTCGTAATAGTGTAGGCAGCAGATTACATCCCGTGCTATGTCTGCTTGAGATCCCCGCGGGCGCAGGGCTCTATGAGCTCTATCAAAGGCTATTGGCGTTTCTGTAGGCCTGTCCAGGATCAGGTTGAATAGTTCCTGGAGAACTGCGTTGAGATTTTCCCGGTCTTCCTCTGGTATGCCTTTTACTCTTAAGTTATTGCGCCTTCCCCGGTTGTCGAGGTCGTCGAGGGAGCGCTGCATTGCCGAGTATTGGTCGGTGTGTGCTTCCATTGATTCTGTGAGTGTGTTCAGCTGTGTCTGCATCACATCCCTGTCGTCCTCCAAGGCGGTGACCTTCTGTTTAGTAAGCTGGAAGTCCGCCCCAATGGCGTCTAGTCTCTCCTGGAAGGAGGCTTCTAGTTTTTGTAGCATCTGTGCCAGGTCCGTTTTGGAGGGTAGGGCCCGAAGCATAGTTTTGATGTCCCCTTCTGAGGATCTTATGGTGTCTTCTGACCCCGTGGGGCTTGATGGTGGGGAGAATGTTTGTGGCGAGGCCGGTGTCGTGGTAAGGCCTACCGGGTCTGTTTGCTGGTCGCTTGTGTCCCGGAAAAATTTAGTTAGAGACCCCGTTTTTCCTGTGGGGGTTTTCCCTGTCGTTTGGTGCCCACTGGCAGCTCGTTTGGGATGTCCCATTGTGAATTTTAGTGCCCGATGGCTTCGGATTCTATTTCCCTAGCAGAGGAGCTCGTTTAGAACGCGGCCATGCGGCTCGGCTGCTTGCTCCGCCCCCCCCATTCTATGTTTCTTTGTTCTATGTTTCTAAAAAGGGAAGAACCATACGAATAAGAGGGCACAGACTGATATTGCATTTGTAAGACTAAGGGACCCTTACTCAGTGTTAAACCATTCAAAAACAGTTTAACACTGACGCAAGAGGAGCCCAGGCATCATAACCACTTTCATGAGCTATGTCTCTTTAACATGGCCAAAAGGAATACAATACAGAAGGGGGGCAAAGCCAACTGAGTTGGGTCCATCAGATTCTCCATATTTTATGCAGTTCTACATATAATTTAACATTTCTCAATATTTTTTTCTGTCTCTAGAAGTTATGCAAAGAAAGAAAAAGAAGTAAAAGGGTGGTAGACTTCGTGGTAATGCAGATATTGGACTGGGATTTACCTGGCAGGGTGGAGAAGAGAGACCCAGTATGTCTTCCTCGTCCAGCAGCTATTTCTTTGATACTTTATATGAGGTGTCACTCATCAGGCCAATTTTCGCAACCATCATGTGCAGATTAATCTTTATTACCAAAAAAGTAAGGGGGGACCTACAAAACCCACTTGTAGAAATAAGCAAATTATTTCACTCCGACATTCTGGTCTTTCAGGATCTTCAATAATTATTTGAAGGACAATCGCCTCTCAACCCCCTTCACCCAATATGACAAAGAACATCATTTGTTTGAGACATTATCTAAAGCTGGTTACTCGGACTTAAACATTTTACACATTTTTACACGTGGTACTTCAGTTTATTGGACAGACTCCAAAGAGGCAGTGGCTTTTTTTGACAATTGTTATTCCCAAAAGATCTGCAACTTGTTCATGATACCAAGGTTACTCACAAACCCACATATGGGATCCATCAAATATAATACCATTTCTCCCCACTACTTCCCATAAAGGATTGCTTGCCTCAACTAAATATCTTTATTTGGGGATTCAGTCCACTTAAATTAGCATGTTTTGTCTTACATTATATATATTATACTTTGTTGGCTCCAGGGCCTATTCTCAATTATCAATATTGAAAATGGACACAAATATTATTTCTTTGTGGGGGGGGCGGAGCCGAGCAACAGAACTGGTCGGACGCAAGGTGGATGTGCTCCGGCCACACCAGCGCTAAGACGGCTATTTGACCGACATTAACACCCAGAAATGCATCCACAACGTCCCCAGTAACTATGGGCCACAAAACCAAAAAACAGAAACCGGACAAACCCAGGTCTGGCATGAATATAGGAGACCTCCTCCGGCAGGCACATGGTGTATATGGGCCGCCGAACTCGAGGACTTCACGGATTTCTTTAGAGGATCTGCACCTGAACAAGGGTATCAGCGGGATACTACCTCCACCAAAGCCACAGCCAGCCCCTAAAATCCATAGAAGCCGAACCAGGGATGCTCAGGGAGATGCTGGGCAGCCTGCAGAACATACTGCAGGCAGACATGGCTATGCTCTGCACTGACCTTACAGCAGAGAAATCTGTGCATCAGCACACGCAAACCATCGCAAACCTCAAACTAGAAGTACTAACTATTAAGAAACAGCAAGCACAAATGGAGCAGCGGTTTGCCATGCTTGATGAAATGAGGCGCCACAACAATCTCAAGGTCAGAGGGGTGCCAGAGGGGATCCCCATGGTGGGGCTCCCACACTTCATAAAGTGGATAATGGGAGCAATATTGGCCCCCAAACAGGCCAAAGGAGTCAACTTTGACGGGATTTTCCGGGTACCAAAACCCCGGACAGCACCTGAATCAGCCCCTAGAGACCTGGTGGTGAGATTTTGCAACAGCACTGACAAACAAACAGTGCTTTCTTCCCTCAAAGGGAATGCACCTTACTCCTTTGAAAAATCAACCCTATCATTCTATGCAGACCTCTCAGGAGACACCCTACAGTGAAGAACACCCATGCAATTACTCTCCTCAAAAACCACAGCATACAGTATAGGTGTAGTTAACCAAGGGCACTACAGGTCGTGCATGGGGAGACTACCCACTCTATCTCCAACCTCCAAGAAGCAAAAGCACTCCTGAGCAAGCTGGGCCTACCAGAAGATTCCTTGCCTCCACCTGGACCAAGGGACACAAATCCGTAAGCGCCCAGCTGGGCCAGCAATGGTCGTACCATTTGTGCCGCAGAGAGCCTTGCTGGAAAACTACACTGCAGCTCCTACCTGAATTAAGGGGATTGATACATAACATCAAGCCTGCTCTCACCCAGGACTGACACCAATGGTGGTTCGAAGTTGATTTATGATTTATTATTCTGCTGATGCCTTTTCATTTTATTAAATTTTAATCCCAAAGATCCAACTGCTAGTATGTACCCTGGCCATTGGCTAGACTCTCTCCCCCCTCCGACCCCCACCCCTTCACTTGATTCCGAGCCACAACCTTGTCTAGCGGAGCCAAGGGGTGCAACCAAGCCCACACTGGAGGCCGGGTAACCCTGAGCTTTTCCTCTCGGCTGAGATAAACGTTAACCGATAACCGGAACCTTAGCACAGTGAGGCCGATTAGGTACTTTAATTGATTGCCAATAATGGCGATCGGCCAGGTGTTGCTCTGGATGGTTTTCACTTTAGCTGCTGGAAGGTCAGATCTTTTAAAACAGAAATGAGAAGGCACACAAATGTAGGACCATCCAGGTGCCACCAGCCCCATGTAAGACTGTGCTCCCACAGCAATCCAAACAAGTAATAGACTAGGCAAAAAAACTTAGATGACATCCAACGCAGTTTTATTGAGATGCAAAAAGCAACATGTAGGCACACAGAAGTCTTTTTCAAGCCTTTTGAGTTTGAAAAAGACTTATATCCGCCAAAATATGGCTTTTTACATCTCAAGAGAGCTCACTTGGACTTCATCAAATTTTATGCTCGGTCTGTTTCTTTAAGTTATAAGGGGAGATCCAAAAATGGCATCACTTCCTTACTTTCATTGAGCATTTTTTGCCAATTAGGATGTGGGGAAAATGCCCGGGCTATTCATCAGAACCACATGTAATGGCACAAAATATTTCTGCACATACATCACAGTTAGAAAGAATGTATTAGCTTTTCAGAGACGATTAAAAGAATCTGGCAGAATAATTTGGGGTATGAAATACAAAACAGGGGGATAAGAAACTTTCATCAACTTTTATTACTGAATTAACGAGTTTTCATGAAAATGTCTCTTTGTTTATTATTTTGTAATGCATAAATATAAATTAATAATTCTTTCATTCAGAAGCACCACTTATCTAATCAAAGAATGGCTGAAGTCTGCTTAGAGATGCACAGAGCATAACATCAGGATTCGTCAACACAAGCTGTTAGTTACCTACATGTTATTCAGTCTGAGAAGCAGGGCTTCTAAACAAAAAGATGTACGAAGACTTA